GCCTCACAGAGGAACGTGCGCGGTCGGTGCTAGCCTGCTTGAATACGTTCAAGGGCAGGACAGCGGTCCCACTGATACTTTTTCAGAGGCTCCTGGGGCATATGGCGGCCGCAGCGGCACTTACACCGCTCGGCCTGTTACATATGAGACCGCTCCAGCACTGTCTTTATGGCCGAGTCCCGAGGTGGACTCACCGGGTCCAAGTTACACCGGCCTGTCGCCAAACCTTCACCCCGTGGTCAGATCTTGCGTTCCTCCGGGCAGGGGTGCCCCTAGAGCACATCTCCAGGCATGCTGTGGTCTACACGGATGCCTCCACCACCGGGTGGGGTGCCACGTACAATGGGCATGCGGTCTCCATGTCTGGTCCCTGGACGGGACGCGGAGGTTCTAGGTGACCAGAGTGTCCTACAGTAGACCCTGTTGAGATCATCCGTCACCCTCAGCAGCGGACGTGGCAGAACGTCCGGTGCCGGGCCTTCATGATGAATCCGCGGGAACCGTGGAAGGCTGGGTTCCATATTGAGACCTAAGCGGTTCTCGTATGTGTATAGCCCACGGTATAGCCATAGAGCCCGTGTTTCCCCGGCAGACTTCTGCCTTTCCAAGAGGGTTACAATCACCTCCATTTCTCCATATACACCTAAACGGATGCTATATGTGTATTTGCTTCCGAAACCTCCTTCGGGAAGGATGGGGCTTCCGCAGCGTCCCTGTTCCAAGTGGAGCGGGTACGTTTTCCCAGTGTTATCCAATCTCACTCAGTAAGGTAGTGCTTTGAAAAATGGTGAGTGGAACTACTTGTCCCGAGCCCCGGCCTACACCAGATAGGGGCGCAGGCGGCTCGCACAGGGCACTGGAAGGGGCAGCACCATGGGTTTTTGGTAGGGATCCCAATTCGTCGGTCACCGGCGTGACTCGGAGTGACCGACTGAAAGGGAACGTCTCGGTTACGTATGGTAACCCTCGTTCCCTGAAGGAGGGAACGGAGATGTCACGTCGCCACGGTTGCTGTACCACCGCTGAGCGGCCGAGTCGCCGGCTCGGCTCCTCAGCGAAAACCTGGTATGCATTGCACCTGCTGCCTTATTATACTCTCGCTGTGATCAGCGGCAGCTGGATGCAATAATTGCATGCCAATGTGCATTGGCTCATTTCGTTTAGAAGTAGATTGGTCTATCGAAATGATATCCCAATTCGTCGGTCACGACGTGACGTCTCCGTTCCCTCCTTCAGGGAACGAGGGTTACCATACGTAACAGAGACGTTCTCTGTGGATAACAATCTGGGTTTATCTGATGATCTCGGTCTTCTGTCTGACAGTGGAGATGGCTGTGATTTCAGCATTAATGTACCAGATCTCAGTGAAGCAGAATTGCTGTTTTTGTGTTTACCATTTGATCCTCGTGATTAATCCAGAGCTAAACATAAGAAACGAGTCCAGAAACCTCGCGTGGATGTCAGGCGTGTCTCTGCTTCACTTTCTGAAGACACTTCACTGAACTGTGTGAATCAGAATTTGACGGACTGTATATCAGTGTTAGACACAGTATCTGAACTGATTCTGCGCAGGTGTTTTTATGCACATCATATTGAGGTTTCCATCACAGGCCTTCACTTCACTCCTGAAGACAACACCTTCCAGACGAAGGTATGGATGTAGAAGTATGGCGTCTGCACAGGTGAGCTTGTTCTGCAGGAACAACGTCCTTCAGTATCTCTCCTGAACGCTGAGTTACACCTAAAGTCATTTATGTCTGTGCAAATCATTTTACTCCAGACTGCTTTCTGAACGAGGGACAATTCGAGGCAGGTTTTGCTAAAAAGTTCAAACTGAAGGATGGATCCAGCTGCACCTCCAGAAGAAGTAAGTCCCACACTTTATATTTTTTATGATTATTTACAAATTGGCTTTTCTCTTCCACGGAAGAGAGGGGCGGGGTGAGCAGAGCTCATTAGCATTTAAAGAGACACCGAAACGGGTCGCTATGAGCTGTTTTTGACAAGGTAAAAAGAGTGTTGTTTATTCTGTTGAGGAATTTTAACCCTAAAGTATGTTACAGACCGTTCATGAAGACCCTAAAGAATCATACCAACTTGTGGAAGATATAACTAACCCCATTATCTTATCAGGGTTACACAATACAGAATTTCAAACAATTGCCACAAGCAGAAGTTTTAAGAAAAACTTCACTGAACTTGACGACTCATGCCATAACATTTCTCACTGAATTACACACATACACTCTTTTGTTAGCTTCTCTATGGCTTTGATTACAGGCTTTATGTCTTCTACAAGAATTAATTCAGAGTTTGTGGTTAATTCCCCCTCCAGACTGAGAGCTGAAACAGATATGCGTATTAGATTAATAATTTCCTTCACACTGTCATCTCGTGACTCATCTGTTAAACGGCAATATGTTTTCTCCCATTCTGTTGAACTGATTTTGTGCTACTGATTGAACTGCTTCACTTTCTCATCCAGTTTCTGTTTCTGAATCTTCTGAATCTGAAGTTTCTGTTTCTCTGTTTTATCAAACACATCATTAGTGAAGTGCGTCCTTTCATTTTCTTCCACCATCGTCTCTATTTTACTGATCAGATCTTTGAACTGTGGGAAACTGGCAGACTTGTTGTCCAGAAAGAAGAATCGATTTTTACAACTTTGTACAAGTTTTTTGAGCTCTGGATCAGCATTATGTAGAAAATCTTCTGTCGTTTCATTTTCCTCCAACTCATCTTTGTGAGTGAAGAGGAGTATTTTAGTATTTGCTCTCCGAACACATTTCTGAGTTTCTCCACTGTTTTTTTCCCCTCCTCAGTGAATCGACCCGTTTTAATCACAATAATAAAAGCATGTGGTCCAGGATAAGCGTATGTTACACATTCCACTATTTCTTTTATAACTTCCTCCTCACTGAGTTCAGTATCATAAAGTCCAGGCGTGTCGATCACTGAGATCTTTCTACCAAACCTCACTCTGGCTTCTGACTGACACCGTTTCGTCTGAGAGGTTGAACTTGCCGAACATTTGAACAGGTTTCTGCCGATGATGGTGTTTGCAGTGGCACTTTTCCCAGATCCAGTTTTTCCCAGCAGAACCAGCCTGATCTGGTCTTTCCTCTCGGTAATCACATTAATCTCATCTGGATCTGCTGCTGCAGACTCTCCTGAAACTACAGATCAAATCACATCATTGTGCTGTTTATATTAAAAGCAATGAAAACAAATATAGTGAAAGTAGGCTATGCCATCCATTATGTGCAAAAAAAGGGGCTAAAATCACATTACATTCTAACATTGTAACATTACGATCTAAAAACAAAAATAATGCTTTTTAAGGCAGAAGTTCAATTCACTAAACTAAAAATGAAAATAAATAAACACAAGTACATGTGATAATATACCAGTTATTTTAAAGCCCTTAATAGGGCCTTTCGCACTGCTTTAGTTCCAGAACTAAATGTACAGTACTAAAGTACTGGGACGATTTTGCGTGAACTATTTCCCAGTACTATTTAAAGGGTTGCATTCGCACCGAGAGTGTGTAC